TGCTTCAATCGTTTACAGGTATCGCGTTATTTTGGCGCATGCTCTGTGCGAATATAGTGCAGCGCAGAGTATAATCGATATGCTCCCTCTCCCCAGCGAATGTCGTTGGGGGAGATTCCGCGAGAGTGGGGGAGACATAGATGCAGAGAGGCAGAAGCAGAGAGGCGAGGGGCATTGATAGAGATAACGGCAGAGAGCGGAGATTTACTGGGGGAAATCTCCCCTTCGAGGGGAAGTATAGCATACGGCCCATGATCAAGCGGTGAACCGGGTGCTAGCGCACCGCTTACGACTCACGTCCCTGGTCTTCGTAAGTCTCTTTCGATCAGTCACATACCTCCCCTACTTCTCAGCTCCTCATACTCTATGTAAGCTCATCAGGTATGTTCTTTTCTGTCTTTACTACTTTATGAATATTGCTATTTGTGTTACAAAACAATGTTTTGCCAGTTCATGCTTCTTGTGTACTTGAACCATGTTTATTTTTTGGCTGCCTTTATGCAACCCTTCTCTTACATAAATTCATCATCCTTTTATCATTGTCTCAGAGAGTAGTTGTGGGTACTTGGAAGGCGAGGAGTAGGCCTTCTATGGACCGCGGCAGGTGTCTTGAGCGGATTCAGCGGCGCTACAACCCTTTGTAGGAGGGTGCGGGCTCTAGTAACCCCCTGCCTTGGGCGTGACCCAGGTGCCCTCTGCTGATGCCATTAGTTTCAGCACCTGAGCACAGCAGATGATGCGTTTGACACGACGCCAGCACATTTTTCACCGATCCCTTTCTTCAAATAATGGAGAAGAACCGGTTGGCGCCTCGCCAAACCCAGCCCCCTGTCACGTCCCGTTATCGTTCTTACAAGAAACTCGCCCATCCTACAAGCGCTGCACTTGTCTTCTTGAATTGTAAAACAAACAATTATTGCAACTTTTTATTTAAACTTTCAAAAGCACTCCTCAACGGGCTCGCTTTATTTATCGGATTGTTTTTGTTGTTGTTGTGTGTCATCATAGTATGAGCCAAACATTATGAAGAACATTCCCTTTGCAGCAATAAATCCACAACTGAGTGCGTTCTGGTAGAGATGGCCTTTATCCTGGAAGAAATGCCATTTCTTCAAGATACACTCATGTGTGCAAGGCTTGGGGAGGGGTGTCAGAACAGACACATCGTTTGTGAAGCGTACCCATAGACATTCTCTTCGCATGTGAACTCTAGGAGGACACGTACCGAGGTAAAGGACCCTGTATCACTCAAATCCTTCAAACCCCTGTTCCTGGGATCCAGGCTCCTCTGACGATCTTTTTGTAGGGTCATGTCATGAAATCGAGAGCATCAGGGCAGGAACACGACATATCTGTTATCGTAGAACCGTTGTAGTCAGGGAGCTCCCGGTCCGTGTCTAAGAGACCCGTATTGGTGTCCAGCCTAGCCTCTGGGGGTTTTAGCGCTTGCCGAGGGTCCTTCCGTGCTCCTATGCATACGAATTCAGAAAGCTGAGACATAGTATGAAGAGACCGATGTAGCTCCCAAGAAGGTCCCATAGGATGATTAGCGCTTCGAAAAGATGCCATGAGGCTCTGCTCCAACTTGTCTTCTTGAGGGAGATAGTGACCACCTCCCAAACCACAGCAGCAAAGGTTGCTTTTTTACCACAATTTCCTCCATTCCGCCTTGTATGGGAGCCTGGCTCGCGCTTTTCAACTCAGCTGGTATCATTCCTGACAGTGGCATGTCCTGGGAATATCTTTCAAGTAAGCATCTTTAGGTCATTCATAACCATATAACATTATCAGGAGTGAATGTTGATGGTACGCTCCACGAGCAGAGCTCTTTTCTGCCCCCCCCCTCCCCCTCCTGTTGCAGGAGACCTTACCATGGCTTTAAGATTCTTCAAACAAAGCTGCAAAATGATATGAGCAATGCCAGCATAAACGAGCGTTAGCAAAAGATAGATGAACGACAGGCTTCCGGTTACCATCCCTATCAAAAAATTCCAACGAAGAGAATTCACTCCAAATTGGCGAATATCCAATTGTACCGCCAGAGCAACAACCTTTTTCGATTTTCCGTTTGAGCGTTTTTATTGACTGCCTGAAAAGGAAAATTGCTGCAATTATCATCCACCCCCCGTTTCGTATTCTCTTCCGCAGGACACGTTTCGATATGGCGCCTCTCTTTTAATGTTATTAAGCCTCAAGAGACACCTACCCCAATAGGCGGCAATTATCGCCAGGAGTAATCACAGCATATGGTATGTAGCTCAAATAAATACTGTCTATGACGAAACCCGTAAGCACTCCTTGTAGAATAGCATATGACAACAGTTCCACCCATAAACGAATGCGACTTATCAACAACCGGTAAGTGGCTTTGAGAGGCCAGCGGCTGCAGCACCGGATTTCCTATTAAAGTAATTAATCTTGGTGAAAGTTGATTTAACAAGTATTTTAGGTTGTTCGGAAAGGAATGCGCGTTGACTTTGTTTATTATTTTTTTCTCTTCTACTATAGGAGATTTTTCAAAACAGTTTTGTCCATTAGAGAGAGATTTTTATTGCGCATTGCGCATCTTTTGATATATTTTTTCTATGTCTACCTTGTTTTTTTAGAGAAAAAAAGTTTAGAAAATGCTCGACCAAAAATTTCGAATGCGAGCTTGTATGTGGTAAGACTTCAAGCAAGTCCTAACGACGCACTTGGGTGGACCTAATGACCCACTCGGCTCACAGGGGCAGCGGGCGGACGACTAGCAGAACACACACTCGGCGAGAAAACTGGCAAAAGAGGCTCTTTTGACCTACATTTCCTCTCCGGCGGACCTAACGACACACCCGAGGGGAAAAGTAGTGAAAGAGGCTCTTTTGGCGAAGTTTTTGCGTACAGTTGGCAACAAGTCATTGCTAGTAATGGAGATTATCTTTTAGATTGACCTTGTTTAATTTCGTTTTTATAATAAAAAATTTTTTACACTCAAACGCGCATTCCTTTCCGAACAACCTAATAATATTGGTTGTAAAATCTGCAAAGGTACATGACCAACATCCACACACATCCAGACCTCTCATCGGGGTTCAACATCGTTGGGAATCCCATCAGGAGGTAGTGCCTGGTTGCTGAAGCGGCGGGAGTGGTCGTTTGGGCCCGAAAATTTTTGTTTTTCTTCGAGAGAGAGCTCCGAATCTGGCGTGGTGCCCGGCTCGTTATCCCACTCTGGTTTTGTTTCGCTTTGCCTCTCAAACAATTGTGGGAGAATGGGCTGGCGCTGCACCCACCCCAAGCTGTCTGAAAACGCCCCTTCTCAGCAAACCTCTGCAGCGAACAAGAAGGTGCAATCCGTGGAGTACCGGCAGTGGCGAGAGGAGGTATTGTTCGTCCGACTACGCGTAAAAAAGGAGGCAATACTGTTTGGCCGTAGAGAGGAAAAGTCTGGCACACAGCTGTAGCCGGCCCAGAGTCTCCTTCTTCTTGAAGAGTCGCACACCTTCGCCACAAGCTTGAAAGGAAGGTGGGGGCGTCAGCGAACGGACAGAATGGATCAACGTACAACAAGTTTGAAAGGTCGGGCGTATGCTCACCCACCCCTCTCCCACTTGGAAGCTTAAGCCTCTAGCTTTGACCACACGCGACAAGCTAGTTCAAGCAACGGCAGTTTATTCCAACCAACAGCTGTTTAAATGGTAAGCGAGATTTAACCGAGGCCTCAAAACTATTGTGCACGTTCCTATCTTTAAATAGAATAAGCGCCTGTCTTGAAAAACAGTGAAGAGGGGGCTGCGCCCCAGTTAGAAGGGCAGGCGATCATGAGCGTCCACCCATTGGTGATAGCAGAATGTGCGCAATTTGGACGCTTTCCCACTCTTAGGTCACACATTCGGCCGTTCCGTTTCAGTGGTTCTGTTCGCTGGGTCGCAGTTGATTTTTTTTTTCTCGCCGCGAATAGCAAAACGTCCTGGAACTGCCCAGTCCTCCTAATCACTGGAAACAATAACGGATCTCGTCTACGCTTCCGAGTAAGCGGGAGCCTTGCCGCGAGGAGAACTGTTGAGGTGATTCGCAGCCCTCTAATGATCTTCCAGCAATGACCCTAAAACCTTGCCTTCCACTGTGTGCTTCTTTTTGGAATTTTCATTCCCATTCCTGGGTCGCGACATGGTGTTGAAATGGGGGTGAGCTGACATACCCTAGTGTCTGCTGGGGCTATGTTCAGCACGGCACCTCATGCTTTCCACCAACTAATTGCTTGCTCGCTTCAATATTGGTTTCAAATGGACTGACGCGGCTTAAAAGCCAGCCTCCCTGCAACACTCAACCGCCTGCAGCGGAATGAGTACTCTTTCCAGTCGCTCTATCGCTCTGGCCAGTGCTATAAAATCACGGTAGCCACTTGGTCGAGCGCCGACCACACCATTCGCGCTCGCAAAGCCAGCTGAGCATCCTTTTCAACAGGAGCACATCTTCATGGGTTGGATATGGGGTGTGGAATATGGCGCGATTGTAGGGTGTGGGTACGCTGGGGTGTGGGTCACAAGACCCCATGGCATCGCTTCTGCTAGCGATGATTGCGGTGCCATGGGGCACCAGAGTCATCGCTGTCCTACCGAAGCGGTGCTATGCGCAACTGTTTCGTTTGCGCACGCTGATAAGGATATCGCCTACTGAGTTCATAATTAGCGTCCCGAGATGCTCAGTCGGTGGGATTCATAAATCGCCCAGTCGAATCGCGAAGCATGAATGCGGCTCGATCCAGAATTCCCACTGGGAGAACCAGCGTTATTCGAAATTTCTTTCCTAACTTCTAACAGCGGACATAACATACCTTCTTGATTGTATAATGAACATAGAACGGTAAGCCAATGAAAGCCACCAGAGCGGCACCGAACCTGCCGACGACGAAGGAGACAAATGGTCCCAGCAAATGCACCCCAAAGAAGATACCTATGTTAGCGAATAGAACCATCACTGTCGACCAGGCAAATACCTCTATGATTGGTTTCTCTGCAGGTGCTACATCGCTCTACAAAACATGTGTTAGTCCCTTAATCTAGCGCTACCCTATCCTTGGCTACTCACTGTATCCTGGACGGCATTTATTATTTCTTGTGTTTGAGGTTCGATGTCGTTCCTTGTGTCCTCGATCATTTTTGGCGCGGCTTCTGAGAACTCTTGACCACGACGGCGAAGATCCTCCGCGGCTTCTTCCAAGTCTTGACGATATCTCGCTATCACTTCACCAACAGCGTCCATGGTAACGTGAGTGTGTTACGTAAGTAAGATGCAAACTAGACCCACTAGCTCTGCCCTGTTTATAGAGAAACAGTGATAGAGACGTATCACAGTAAACTTTACTTGGAAGGATACACTTCACTCATGCACAACCAACATTCGAACGAGGTGGAAACTGTAGTCTACAAGTCAAATTGGGTGATTACCCTTTCTAAGGGTAGAGAACATGATGGAGAAATGAGGCCGGACGTCAAAGACGAATCTTGGCGGCAAGTCGCTGAAGCAAGCGCTGGCAGTGCTTAAGTGACCAGCTCCGTGCTTATCATGTGTTGCTGTGGGAATAGGGTTTCGTTGTTTGTCTTGAACGACTTTTTGGTCGATTTGAAGATGTTCACCGTTCACGAGCATCATACCCCGCTTTTCCCCGTTCACTAGCCTCGGACGTCGCTCGGCGACCACATTCTTCTTCTTCTCCCTAGCGTTAGTCCCGCGCCGTCGCAGGGTCCGCTGATCGTTTAGACGTCGCCACTTGTTCCGATCCACTGCATCTTCTGCTGTGGCTTTCACTTCATGAGGATGCTTCCCTGATTGACGTACCGCCTCATCTTTTCTTTGAGGTCGCATCGTGGATAGCTCGCCCTCCTGCTTTGCATTCCAAATGGCTTCCTTATTTTGCGGCCTTCCCTGCCTCCCTCAGAACGTGCCCATACCATCGCAGTGGCTGCTCTCGTGCCTTTCAGCTGGATCAGAGCCGTCTGTGTGACCGCCCTGACATCCTCGTTTCTGACTCTGTCGAGTCGTGTCCAGCCGCACGCCATTCAGACACCCTCTTTTCAGGTAAGGCGTGACGGTGTCTATCACGAATTCTTGCAATGGCCAGCACTCATGTGGTAAGAACATTGTATGTCATACCAACTGCCTGAGGTGCGACATCCCTTGAGGCGTCCCCAAGCACCCGGTCGCACAGATGCCAGTGGTAGCTACCTCCATTTTATCCAGGCTGCGTTGATTCGGGCTTTCACCGCCTGGTCCACGCTGCCATCAGCTGCTAGGTCGCTCCCCAGGTACTGGAAGTCCTCGACCCTTTCGATGCTCTCGCCATGACAGTCTTCGATGGGTTCGTTACACTCTTCGAGGTTCATGATCTTGGTCTTCTTTACGTGCAGCAAGAGTCCATTCTCAGCGAGCACATCCTGCCACCGCTGCACCTTGTCCTGGAGTTCTTCCCTGCTGTACCAGGGCGATGTCATCAGCGTAGAGGATGGTTCTCAGTGGTCCCTCCATGAGTTCTTTTGCCATGGCATTTTCCCATTAGAGCCACGATGAAGAGGAACGGGATGAGGGCTGATCCTTGGTGCACCCTAACCGTAATGTTTACATCGTTTGTCAAGCCGTACGGGTGTGTACAGCTTCTTTAGCCTCAATCATACAGTACTTTCACTATGAGACTGAGGTGCCCGGAACGTCGGCGTTGCCATGAGCGCTCTGGCAGAGCACACGGCAATCGCCGACCGTTCCGGAGCACCTAGTCTCATAGTGAAGGACAGCCGCGGGCAGGTCCGAATCTTCTCAAGGTCCAGGAAGGCTAGGTAGCAGGGTCGCCGCTTCTCTCGGTACTTCTCCATCAGCTGTCTGGCGATGAAGATGGCATCGGTGGTGGACCTCTCGGGCATGAAGCCGAACTGTTCCTGCGAGATAGGGACAAGTTCCCTCAGCCTAGTGTTGACCAGGCGCTCGTACAGCTTCATGGTATGGGGAGTCAACTTGATGCCGCGGTAGTTGGAGCACTCCGTCGCGTCCTTCTGTTTGAAAAGATGGGGACGATTGTGCTGCTCCTCCACGCGCTTAGTCAAGGACCCGTTCTTCCTCAGCGTTCCTCCGTGTAGCCCTTTCTAGACCCCTTCAGTCATTCCCCACATGGCCATTCAGATCCCCAGCTATGGTGAGGTAATAACTCTTCCGGCAACCAATCTTATGGCCTCGTCCAGGGTCAGGTAGAACTCATCCTTTTCCGCCTCGAGATTACATCAGTCAGTACCGTCACAGGACCCTTCTATCGTGTCCATTGTCCATTCTCGCTCCCACGATCTGATGCACTTGTTCTGTTCATAAAAGAGAACGCTAGTCGGCCTATAGATCTCTGCCACTCGCTATGCCACGCCATTTCATTTGGTCTGTCTGGCTCATTGTAAAGAGTTCGATCGCCTTCTTCCATTCGCAAGCGCCTTCGCACCCTATCCATCGCGTTTCGTGAAAACCAATAGGATCTTGGATATTCCTGCGTCTCATGAGGTCGGCAACCTCACGAGACTTCCCGGTAAGCGACCCCACGTTCAGGTCCCAATTCGAACTAGCTTCTTTGGCCGAGGTCGTTCCGGGGGCCCTCGGTAAGCCTTCCGCAAATATCAACATTAACTCGGGCGAGGTTTTGCGTGCCACTCCGGGTGACGTCCTAGTTCCTTCACGTCCCGTCCTTATCACTGATAACTGTTTGCGAATTGCATGCGTTTGCTTGAACGATCGTCCTCCAATCAGCGCCTACAACCTGGGCCTGACGCTGGTATCTTCCCCATTTTTGCCCAATTTTTTTTCAAGACAGGTTTGTGCCTCGGCAGAAGATCGAACTCGTGGCATAGAGTGTGAACATGAGTCTACACTCTTAACCACTCGGCTATTCCTGCCGTAACAGTCGGGAATTCGGAACCCTGTAAAAGAGCATCGCGTGGGGGAGGGGGAGGCTCCTAGGGAGGGACTGCCTGCAAAAGCTAACCACTAACTTTCGAACGTCCAATATCAACTGAGGGTGGTGGTTGATAATGATAATGATAGCGACCAAATCTTGGGAACATTTGAGAAATTTAATGAAGAGTTTCGTGGGATAGTTGGTAAATTGCGAAAAGTGACGTGCTGGGAGAGAAATTGAGAGGGAAAGGGGTCTATCAGAATTCCTCACTGCGCGATTGTGTGCAGTGGGCTGTCTACCTCGGGCTGGTCTCTTCATGTTCTCTACCTTCAAGTCCTCTTCCATTCATTTGTGGCCCCAAGCATTCATTTGCCTCCCTAGGCACAGTTATGATAGCAGACATTGGAACGTAAGCAAAGTTGGGCAAGTTGCAGGTGCCATATTTGGTTATCATGAAACCCGGACGACATCTGTAGAGTTTCTGTACCTGCAGCTTTGTCACACATGTTTGTCAGGATGAAAAGGTTTTCGTTAGGGCGACGTTTTGAGTGACCTGCTGTCTTCGAAACCTGAAAGTCTCTCAGGGTTCCCTGTTTCTTATCCCCGTACCCGGACAAACACTGTTCTACGCGCTATCCCCATTGTCTACTGCCATATGCCCCTTGTTGTTCACTATATCTAATAGGACTCGGTGCTGTTGGAAGCGCGGTCTATTCTTCGCTGGGAGTTCCTTTGTGCGGGACTCCTGGGCTGTGTCGCAAGTGGCCTATCGCGATGAAGCACCTGACCCGGTAGGCGGTACATATGCAAGATACTTTCACTTCCTTGAGGACGACATTCTGCTGGAAACGTCGTTCCAGGAAAAGCGGTTTCATCATGGCAAACCCGTGTGGCAAAACAGTAATAAGACTTATTCCAGTAAGCTACTTTCCCTAGTCAGGTGAAAGGCAAGTGGACGCTGTTCAGCATGGAAGGTTAATTTGCAGTTTCGCAAACTCCTTTCAGTAGACAGACAACATGTCTCACTTCGCTGGAATCAATAAGTGAGCCATTTTGGGCACAAGAACTTGCAGGCCTTCCCAAGGTGGTCTGTAAAAGCTCAGCTAGGTCCCATTGGAACTCCCCACCGAGCCGAACTGCACTAGCAGTAGGTCAGGCTACACGAGTTTTGTGGTGTAAATAATGGAGAACTGACAAATGTTACCGCAGGCTGTTTAATAAGAATCAGCCACTTGGTACTCCCAATCGTAAGAAAAAGTCTGAAACGTGACTGTCCGATAGTGCTAAATTACATACCAGTCGATCTGGTCTACTTCAACTCAAACTTCAAGTGAACAAACTTTATTCTTCTTGTAAATGGAAGAGAAAGAAAACAACTTGGTTTGAGGCAAGAAGCTGAGAATTGCACAGTGAGCAGCTCACCCCTATTCTTGAGGTAAGGCGGCGTAACCATTTGTAGGCAGAAGATCGCTCATATGTTACATGTAAAAATGGAACAAAGCAGACTTGTGTTTTTTTTGCACTGCTCAAGACCGTTGTACGCATAGTGCTGTTGTTGCATTGCAAGAAGTACCGACTGGACAAGCGGAACAAACGGCGGCCACGTTGTAGACGTAATCGCCAACGATATTGCCACTGGAAATGGCGCCATAACGATAAACTCACAGAATATGAACGACCTCAAGAATGTTCCTCACCCAGGACTATACTGACACACTACAAAGTAGAAGGTGTGGCAGCGTTGAACGGCGCAGCCAAGACGTACATTGTCGTGCCAAGCCATCTTTTGAAAAAGATTGTTTGAGGTACACCGAGATTTATTCCGAGGTCTTGTAGACCTTGCTTTTGGGGACACATCCTCAAGGTTTTGTCTGGCTGGTTTGATAAGAATGAATGGCCTGGCTTGATAAGAAACGAGATCAACAGCCCATAGGGTTTACAAAGAGTTCGCGAAATTTCATGGGAAAAGGGGGAGGGGTGGAGTCACTTGGAGACTATACCTTAGTTCGCTGCGGACGGTTGGGCGTGTCAGGCAATATGAGTGTGCCACACCGTAAGACTTTCTCTGCCTTCTTGTTGAAGAGCACGACAACCAGTGGTAGAAAACGAGTAATACGAACGATATGATACAGCCGTATCATTTGCTCGCCTTAACAAATGATTTAGGACGGGTTTGGCACCGCGCCAAGCTCAACCCGTTTGACACGCCCAACCGGTCCACAGCGACTACAACTATATCTAATTTCTACATTTAATATTTTCTAGTTGGGACCGTGACCAATCAGCTTTCGATAAATTGCACAAGTGGCTCAGGAAATCTTCCTTAACGTACCTTGGACCAATGAGTGACAATGTTGGAAGTTCGATGACGAGTCTCAGAGTCAAATAGCATGTCTGATCGAACATATGACTGTGCTAGCTCGCTCCACCAGGTTGTCATTGCCTTAATTTAAGTAGTTATTCGGAAGTTTTGCTCTAGTTTCTTCGCAGGTTAACCCTAAAATCGTTTTTCTATTCAGAATCGCACTAATTTAGGGCGAAAAGCCTATAGGGAGAGGAGAAGACAAGGTGTTTGTCTCATACCAGCAATGTTTTCGTGGGACCTGCTGACGAGGTATATTTGGCACTTCCGCCTCAATAATTCTCATTTGTTCGACTTTTCAATATAATCAATTGATTTTCATTTGCCATGATTTTTTCGTGTCAGAAATTATTCTGTGATACTTGTCAAAATACCCTGTCTCACTATTTCCAAGAGGATGAGGGCTCATGCGTGCGCCTTCGAGCTCAAGAGGGTCTACAATAAGCGCGATAGCCTGAGGTATCTGTATAGTGTACTCATTCACGAATTGTGGAGCGCACCACTACTGATCCGATTATGGGTAGCCTCACGGAGATTGTCTCTCTGGTAATGTAAGGCGTCAGACGTCCTGTCGTTCGTAAAAAAATTGTCATGGCTTATCAGGAGAATGCTGAGGTATGGGCGAATGTCGGACCCGGGCCGGGACTCGAACCCGCTGTGTGTCATGGTTAATTTTTTGCTTTCTCATGGCTTAGCCCCACCAGTCAAGTTGATAGCAAAAGACGCGCTCAACCTATTTGGAGCCTTTCCAAGAAGGCCGGTTAGCAGTAGCAAAGACCATCCCTTTTCCGCCGCTTCCCAGTGAACGAGGAGGGAGCTGCAGCCGTCATAATTTCTTTAACTCGAGGCCAACCCATTTTTAGTCCCTTCTCTGTACGGAGGTCATATCCGGCCGCTAAACCAATTGCATTTTAGTTCGTGGATGCTTACAGAGTTGTGATGAACAGTAGTAAATGACTTCATCATTGATACCATAATTATCTTCCATCAGCAATATTGAGGAAGACCATTTGAAAGCGTCCTAGAGCTGCATGCGGAGGTGCATGCAGTAACAAGACGCTTTGGGGCGAGGGCGCGTATAAACCTGCCTTGGGTTTGGTGGCGAGCACGCGTGAACATATGAAGCTCTCCAGTGGTGTTTTTTCCGTAGCTTGTGAATGTTGATATTTGCGTTCAAAGGGAAAAGAACGGATGAATGGGAACGTTCCGGCATCATCCACAGGACATGATCCCCAAAAGTTGCACATTTCAATGCAATGCGGGCTACCGTCCCAAATTGGTAGTGATACATACCATTACATACAAAGTAACTGTAATTGCTCACCTGATTTGCCGCCGCTGTATAGTCCAAAGCAAGATTATTGACCTTCTGTATGTTCTCTTTTGCATTTGGACGAGACTCTAATGGCGAAAGTTCACCGTCACATGTCAGAGCGTGTCGAATCGCTGCCGCTTCGAGGGAGCAATCATATCTCTGGAAGAATAATTTTCCAGAACTTCTCTGAGAGACTTTCTTTTGGAGGCATTCTTCCGGTGAGGCCACGTTGGGGTTTTTTTTGCTCTTTGGTTATGTGCAAACGTCGCCAATAAAAG